GGTCGCGATTGATGCCGCCCGCGAGGGTTAGCGTCGATTCAATCCGACCGAAACGGGCAATTAAAACCGCGCCGGTGGAATCCGCTCTGGATTCCGTGCGGGAAACGGCAGAGAGAGGCCGCGAAGTTGACGGGAGCCGAAACGAAGAGGAAGAAGGAGAGACCAGCGAGCTTCCGCGGTTGACACGCGCGGATCCGTGGCCTCAGCGCGGAGACCTGTTCCCGTCCGGCGGCGCATCAAGGCGAGACTATCGTCTCCGAGGGAAACAATTACTCCGAGAGCGAGTGCATAAATAAGGAGGAAGAGAAACCGGCCTGACCACGCTGGCGGTCACAATGCACCTCCGGGTGCTGACTGATTTGCATCGACTGCACGATGAGGTGCTCAGGATGGCGGTCACTGGTCTTTTGCGGAGGGAGCGATCTGGCCGGAAACTATGCACCGACATCCACACGATTTTTATCAAAAAACATCAAAATTTCACGGTGTCTCTTCTACTTCGACTATGGGTACTCTTGGAGACTTGGGATACTCTTGGATGATTGTTTGCAGTATCTCCATTTAGGCATTGTGCCAGTCAGTCGGTTTATGAAGACTGCGGATTACGGATGTCACTGACAATGAGTTTCAGAAGACTTCCTTTCTACGATGTTAACTCTTTGCACTCGAGAGGTGACCTTCAGTCACCGTTTCATAAAATTTGAAAGATCGTTATTAATTAACATATCAAATTTAATGCAATGTAACAGTGTGCAAGGTATCGAAATCAAATAATTCTACAATTCTATTATTATACAATTCTTTATTTACTGCTCTCAAAAAAGTGTCGTCAGTTTTTAATAGAGAATCTTTGATTTTCTACTCTTCTCTAGCCAAAAAATTGTCGAGTGCAAAGGGTTAAATATAAGAGTGACCTAAGACGTACATATTTCAATGCGAAATATTAAAAGTTTAGAACTACAAATTACTACTATACATTGAAAAATTAATTAGGTAAAAGTACGAATCCGATCTAACGATCCAACTTCCCGCTAATTTACCAAGAATGGTTTTATACTACTGTGATACGAATAAATACAGTACAAAGTAAGCGATAAAATGGTGAATTTATTATTAAGATCCTATTTGTATTACTTTCGCTTTATTTATCATTCTCATGCCTATTGTACCGAATACACGAGGTGCTAATACTACAGGTACTAATACCTGATGTAATTTAGATAATGAACTATGACTTAAATCGATTTCCAGATTTACTAGTAGCGAAAGTGGACTAGAAAGTGATACAACGAACAAAGAGTTTAATGGAGGACCATTTTTAAAATTATAATTCCAAAATTGATTCGCGATGGCGTATTTGACCGGTGCCTGAGAAAGCAAAAGGAAAAGTCGGAAGCCACGATGCGGATGGAATTTAGAAGATGCTCTGTACCGAGGTAAATATTATATCGAATTTATTCTTTTATATTCCTTCGGTTACAATAAGCATTGTCGTAGGGATTGCTGGAGTTTATTCGAAGTCGCACACCGCGACTTTTTACCCGCGGTAGGGAGAGGAAACGTGTGTCAAGGGGTGACTGTGGCTGTCGGCGGGTATTCTGAAGAAAGGAGGACCGGGGGTCGGCAAATACGTAGGACGCATTCAGATCAGTCTCCGGAGGAGGACGAGGGGTGGTATAGAAAAGCTTTTCGGGACGCGTCAGCAAGAAACATCAAAGTCCGTGCCATTTCCTCCGGCCGAATACAAATGAAATACTGTACGTACCGGCGATTGTATCGTTTTCTCGTCGATACGTAGCAATTTGCGCGAAATACGTCCGTCTAATAAAAAGGGAAAGAAACAGAAGAAACTACTACCCTCCTCGACAGACTCAAGGATGAAGTACAACGAATTATATAACCCAACAGTTATAACGATCAAGAAACAGAGCAACAAGATAGCCTCGATAAGATACAAAATGGGGTATCTTCCTTATCTCGACTTATCCTCGCAATATATTAATCCCGAATTTCCCTACGTGTAAGATACGCATGAGACCACGAATAGCGAGGAAATTTGCGAATGTTCGATTGAAATCGAACGATCGATCGAGACACGGAACGGCTGATAAAACGAATCTCGTGGATTCGCGAGAAGGGAGAGACGCATGTAAACGACGCGACCGTGGCATCGCGAAATACACCAGCCATAACACGCGAGACGGAAAATAGCGGCAATACTCTTGAGTGGCTGGAATGGTGGCCTGGGGGACCTTACTTCCTTTCTACGATGTTAACTCTTTGCACTCGAGAGGTGACCTTCAGTCACCGTTTCATAAAATTTGAAAGATCGTTATTAATTAACATATCAAATTTAATGCAATGTAACAGTGTGCAAGGTATCGAAATCAAATAATTCTACAATTCTATTATTATACAATTCTTTATTTACTGCTCTCAAAAAAGTGTCGTCAGTTTTTAATAGAGAATCTTTGATTTTCTACTCTTCTCTAGCCAAAAAATTGTCGAGTGCAAAGGGTTAAATATAAGAGTGACCTAAGACGTACATATTTCAATGCGAAATATTAAAAGTTTAGAACTACAAATTACTACTATACATTGAAAAATTAATTAGGTAAAAGTACGAATCCGATCTAACGATCCAACTTCCCGCTAATTTACCAAGAATGGTTTTATACTACTGTGATACGAATAAATACAGTACAAAGTAAGCGATAAAATGGTGAATTTATTATTAAGATCCTATTTGTATTACTTTCGCTTTATTTATCATTCTCATGCCTATTGTACCGAATACACGAGGTGCTAATACTACAGGTACTAATACCTGATGTAATTTAGATAATGAACTATGACTTAAATCGATTTCCAGATTTACTAGTAGCGAAAGTGGACTAGAAAGTGATACAACGAACAAAGAGTTTAATGGAGGACCATTTTTAAAATTATAATTCCAAAATTGATTCGCGATGGCGTATTTGACCGGTGCCTGAGAAAGCAAAAGGAAAAGTCGGAAGCCACGATGCGGATGGAATTTAGAAGATGCTCTGTACCGAGGTAAATATTATATCGAATTTATTCTTTTATATTCCTTCGGTTACAATAAGCATTGTCGTAGGGATTGCTGGAGTTTATTCGAAGTCGCACACCGCGACTTTTTACCCGCGGTAGGGAGAGGAAACGTGTGTCAAGGGGTGACTGTGGCTGTCGGCGGGTATTCTGAAGAAAGGAGGACCGGGGGTCGGCAAATACGTAGGACGCATTCAGATCAGTCTCCGGAGGAGGACGAGGGGTGGTATAGAAAAGCTTTTCGGGACGCGTCAGCAAGAAACATCAAAGTCCGTGCCATTTCCTCCGGCCGAATACAAATGAAATACTGTACGTACCGGCGATTGTATCGTTTTCTCGTCGATACGTAGCAATTTGCGCGAAATACGTCCGTCTAATAAAAAGGGAAAGAAACAGAAGAAACTACTACCCTCCTCGACAGACTCAAGGATGAAGTACAACGAATTATATAACCCAACAGTTATAACGATCAAGAAACAGAGCAACAAGATAGCCTCGATAAGATACAAAATGGGGTATCTTCCTTATCTCGACTTATCCTCGCAATATATTAATCCCGAATTTCCCTACGTGTAAGATACGCATGAGACCACGAATAGCGAGGAAATTTGCGAATGTTCGATTGAAATCGAACGATCGATCGAGACACGGAACGGCTGATAAAACGAATCTCGTGGATTCGCGAGAAGGGAGAGACGCATGTAAACGACGCGACCGTGGCATCGCGAAATACACCAGCCATAACACGCGAGACGGAAAATAGCGGCAATACTCTTGAGTGGCTGGAATGGTGGCCTGGGGGACCTACGGGGATAAGGATTTGCTCCAAGGGGAAATACTCGTGCGAGTGGCACATGCGGGAATGCATATGCAGGGAACAGCGAAGCCAGGTGCGTCGATTTCTGGCGCTAACGGGCTCCTTCCTTAAAAATCTCAAGCTTCTATCATCCTTACGAAACCCTCGTGCAGTTTAAAACGACTCTTTATCCTCTCCAAACTTCCCCCCCAAATATATCACCGAAGCTATGAATTTCAGTCCAGGCTGAATCCCTGATGAACAATCGGAGGACGGAGCAGAGTATAAACGATCTGAAAATTGTGCCCTTAAGTTAAACAATTGAATCGTGACGAACTAAAAATTTTTAGTCGTTTTTAAATTTTGTATATTCGTGACGTTTCGCATGCAGATTCGCGCAGATTCTTTTTCCCTCGGACGTTTCCCTTGGACGAGGGTACCAGAATGGCTGCGACACGCCACTGGAACTCGAGGACCGTATAGTCCGCCCCCTTCCCAGATCAATAATACCATTCCCGTCCTCGGCGCATGTGCGACGGAATATCCCCCCATAAGCGAACTGGTTTCCACCCCCAGATGAACTACGCTCCGAACGCCTTGCACCCCTCCATGCAACATTCATAGCGCCATCAATATTATACGCGCGAAATAATAACCTGTGCATTTATTATGAGGGGGGTGGCTACCGTGGCTCGAGAGATTCGTAAAAAAGACGCAGGAGAGAGAGAGGGACGAAGAATGGCCGACGAGGGACGATAAATTATGCGTGTAAACTGTTATGCAAATCAATTGGTCGAGGGCGAGAGATCGGCCAGAGTGATGGATCGCTTTTCAACGAGGATCTCGCACGGAAAAGCGACATCGACGCGGAATTAATCGGTCGATGGCTACCGTCCAGCGATACTACGGTTCGATCGATTCGATTTCTTCGTTTCGCCGCGGTTTATGCACCGCGAAGTTTGCGTCGCGAATTTCGAGCGAGACGCGAAATCGTTCGGATGAGATGACAACGATCGATTGCATTCGGAATAAAGCGTCAAGATCGTAGGTTACATAGGTGTAGCATTTAACGGATCTGCCAGTGCTCGAGATATCTACCGGAAGTGGTACCGATACAGGAGGACACGTCGCGAGAATGGGAAATCGATCGAGGAGAAGTCTGTGCGGCCAGAAGGCCAGGAATTATTTCATGAGGTAATCGTCGCGATCGAGCCTTCGACGATCGAGGAGGAGCTTAATCCCGCGATATCGTCGTCCGAATACGATGTTTGCATTGGCCGCGAAGGAGATAACGGAGGAGACAAAAATGTGGAACAAAGAGGACGATGGAGGGACTAGTTGCGTCGTAAAATCTTTATTACCGTCGGGCATCTCCGGAAAAAAGCCTTCCTGTCGCGCTTATGTAATCTCGGATACTCGAATTTCCTCGTATATATCCCATTTTCTCCTTCTTCCTTCTTTTTATTCATTCTTTTTCTTACGATCAGCGAGGAAAAGAAACGAGCGTACATCGTTCTCACCATTCTTGCAATACGATCGTGCACGCACACCTCCTCTTGGCCGTTCCTATCACGGAATGGAATAATTTATGGAAAACGAACTACTTGCTGTTTTGTTTTCCTCTTTTTTTCAAGCACGCACTTCTGGGGACCGGTGTTCAACTGGATGATACCCATAGCGGCCATATACGACACGCAAAAGCATCCGAGAATCATTAGCGGCAAAATGACTTTGGGTGAGTTCGCCGCGGCCGCGCTTCGTCGTTGGACCTTTCGGGGAATTCGAGTTCCGCCGCTCATAATAATCACGTATCGCGACGACCACGACCATGGATGGCGGACAGGGAACGGGGACAAAGCGGGGGCGAGGGGCGGGCGAGGGCCAGAGAAACGGGCCCATAAAATAATTGCCGCTCGAACGCAGCGAATCAGCGTTTATTTCTTAATGAGCCACCATGGAACACGTGGTCCAACGGAGACCTGTCATTCCGGATGGACTATCGTGCTAGAAAACGTGAAAATTTTCTCGCTTTCACACTGTGATGGTTTCAAACTTCCACGACACGCTCTCCTTCGTCACCGCGTTTTTCCTTTCTCCCTTTTAGCCTCTCGCTCGCGCTTCTGACCTTTGCAAATTTCTCTGATCGATTTTTCAGCACTGACTATCTACTCTATGGCGTTCATGAGGTTCGCCATGAAAGTACAGCCGCGGAATTTAATGCTGTTCGCGTGCCACTTTGTCAATACCTGCGCACAGCTTGTACAGGGTTACAGGTACATCGAATACCATTATATCTCGCAACAAGAGCCCACTGCCCAACAGGCACCTGCCTCTACGGATAAGACGGAGTGACTTTGTATATCCTGATCAATCAGCGATAATCATCTTGAGAATTTTTAATAAACCTTGATAGACACCTGATACTCTCGAAATCGTGTTTCGTCATCGAAATATTTAAATAATCGCACGTTACATGAGCAATATTTAACACCTTGCGCTGTAATGGCGATCGCTCTCTCAATCCTGACATCTTTCGCAATTTTATCTCGAACTACATAATAAAATGCGGAATATAGAGGTTAATTAAAATCAAATTCTTCTTCGATCCACGCGATCTGTCGTAATTAAATCTGAGTGCGAATAATCGTGGAAAGTACATGAATCGAAGTTTCGTGAGGATTTTCCGCGAAATCGGCAAGTATTCGAGATTTTCTTCGATACATCCTTATGTTTTCCTCTTTTTCCTTTCTCTGTTCCCCATATCGAGTCGAGAAGGTACTAGTTTATTCGCAGTAGCCCCAATTCGATGGACGAATGTATAAGGAGAGCAATAATTTCCTAGGGGTCGGCTGTCTTTCTCGTTTCTTTTCCCGCGCCTCGAACAAGGCCATTCGATCGAGCTTGGGGTCATTTTATGGGATCTGGCACGGATCAGAGGCACGAATCTATTCCGGTTTTTCCGAATGCTAAGCCACGCTGCGCCTCCGTTCCGTTTCTGCTCTTTGCATTCGTTTGGTCTGGACGAAGGGACACGAGATCCGCCCTCGCGTCCCTGAATAAATATATATGGGCTGATTAGCCCTGCTTGGCTTCGATCATGCGTTCCTTCCCTTTATTCGCTTCCTTTGCATTCACCAGAGAACGGTGACGTCACCGATTCTTCCTACTTCAATTACCATTTCGCGTACCGTCCTCGGGTCTCTCGAGAGGTTCTAAAAAATCCCACGAGTAAGTACAAGTATTCGTGGATACTATCGAATTCTACTTTGAGCGATAATTAACATTTCGATAGCCCAATCTCCAATAATTTCCTCCCACTATTCCACAAGTGCAATGATTGAGACTACTAATAGGAAAATTTGCTTCTATTTGTAATACACTTAAAAAGCATGCTACTATCAACTATCGCATTCATTATCCTGTTAAATATCAGATACTCGAATGAAGACTTTGAAACGACATTTTTACACGCGTGATCCTTTATCGTCAAACGCCTCAGTTGCACCCCACGAAACCCCCCTAGCTCTCGAATCCTACGCCAACGCAGCGTTTCCACTTTTCGCGAAGGATTTCGTCTATCTTCGGGAACCGTTGATGGCCCAGCGAAACAGGGAGGAAGAAGATCGCAGAGGCGAGACAAGGTCCACGGGATGAGTCCTTCGGGACTGATTTCACAAACAAATGCCGACGATTGAATGCTGGCATGTCGCAAGATGGATCGCTCTCTTTGAATCACAGATTACCCGCCGCCTTCCACCTCGTCCTGCGGTCCTCCTTCCTCCGTGGCCGCCGTTTCCAACTGCCCTCTTCCTCCGGCCGGCTCGTCCTTCCTTTTCTTGCTCCTCCTCTCCTTCCAGGCGCCTCTCCACCTCCGCGGCTGGACGGCAGAAAGGAAGAGAGAAAGAGAAAGGCCCATTCGAACTGGCAGCACCGGCAATTTGCCACATGCCTACGTAGCTGCCTCTCCTTTCTCCTCGGCAGAGGAGTCTGCGTCAACGACAGCCGAATCCGCCGCGAAACCCACCGACCTATCGCCGATCAGACGCGATCTCGATGACCGGTGACGGTCAGGCATTAATCAGGCTACCGATTCTTACTCTCCACTACCGCGAGCTGCGATCACTGTCCGCGCGAGAAACGAATTTTGCCCGATTCCTAAAGTTTACAGAGCAATTCCGACAACCCTTAACACGAAGAGTACGAATTCTTTGCTATTTATCTAACTCTAAGGTAAGTATAGTATATAAGGTGACTCTAGTCTCGGAGTAGCTAGTTCTATATACGATAGTTCAATCGCTTGAGAGTTACACAGGGGTAAAATATGAAATTAAACGAGGAGAACTATGTAATAGTATACTCTAACAAAATTAATTATCTAACGAAAATTCTGAAGATTTACTCACCGCTTGCCTTACCGTTTAAGTTCCGGTACCACGTGCTGTAATTAACACAGTCGGTCACACGTTGAACCACTTCTTTCGAACACTGCAAAGAATAATACGTAACTGGTGGTTGAGACTCGTAAGACAGGAAAACATCGACGAAAATTAACCATGAACCTTAAATGTAACGTTCGACTTCCTTATCGTGAATCGACCTAACGAGGTATGGAATAGTTGGACGAAACAGTTCCGGTTTTGTGCGTTGATTCGTAAGGAAATTCTTTCTATATTGGTATCAAAGGTATCCACTTGTCACACGTATCCATCGAACGTCCAGAAAATTTAAATTCCTTGAACTAACGACCAAATGGAAGATCGTGAGATACGCGCGATCCCGATAGGGGAACCGAGGTGAACAATAAAAATTAAAGAAGTCTGCCGAGGAGACGAGGAGGAAACTGGGGTGGAAAAACGGGCTGGCCAGCGGCAGGAAGAGTGAAATGAACTGTAAAGCGGAATGCACAGACTGTAAAGCTCGTCGCCGCGGAAATCCATGAGGTCGTGTGGAAAGAGGGAAAGAAAGCTAAGAGAACGAAAGGAAGACGGGGGTAGGAGCGCACCCTCCGTGATCCCGGCGACTTTTCGTCGGTCGATGATCTTTAAATTAAGTGCACCGGCTTATGACGCCCGTGTAAAGTCTTTCGGGGTGGATTTTCGCGAGCGGCCTATGGGTGGGGCGGAAAAAGGCTCTTGAAACGCGTGGCGAATGCGGCCTGACGAGCAACCCCCTCGGCGAAATGAATCAAACGCACCCTCGCGATGCAGGACATACATTAGGCTGACACGCTTGGCACGGGCCATTCGGAATGCTGACTATTCCCGGAGAAAGAGAAAAATAAGGATACTTTTCGTGGAAGAGAAGAAAAAAAAAAGCAGGAAAAGAGGAATCGAAAGGAACGCCTCGTGGTGGTTAGAAACGAGATGAGCTACGATCCCTTGAGATCGCATATTGCGCGAGTTTGCAATATTATGGGTAAGAAGAAACAAAGGATGTTCTTTCTTTCTTGTCTTATTTGCCTTCTTTCCTTGGTTTCTTTTTACAATGAATCGCCTCGTTTGCAATCTTAGATCGCGAAAAAAGATACTGGAACGGAGTACCACTGTCCGAGAAGTAACGCTCGGGTGATGGCCACGCAGGGGGAGAGGAATATTCCTGGTGGATTCATAAAAAAGGGAAAAGTGCTCGAGTCACCCCTGAAAAATAACAGGAAACCGGGGCGCAAGCTCGCACCATACGGCCGTGAAAGCGTTTGGCGTTAAAAAATCATGAGGGTGTCGTTTTCCTCGTCGTGGTTTTCCCCGGCTTTGAGTCATCTCGGATACGACGTGTTTTCGAGTTCCTCATCGCGGACGTGTCTCGTGGAAGTTGGGTCTAAAAATTCCGTCTAGGTATCGCGAAACTAAATTATCCGTTACGACGACCACGGCCAACTTTAAGTTTCGAGATATTCGTTGACCAGAAGGGGGGGAAAAGGGGGAAATAAAAAGAAAAGAAAATAGAACGAGGAGGTCCACCAGCGACGAGCATGAAAGTGCAAAAGGTTAAGGGATTCGAGCTGGTGGAGGAAGTTCGTCGCGATGTTTTCGTACAGGGGGTGCGCCATCGTAGATGGCAACATAATCCTCGATAGAGGACCGTGACACATGGAAACATGGGGGACATCTTATCTTCATATTACACACGCGTGATGGTTCTCAACTTGGAGTACCCTCGTGTATCGAACGTTCATCCATACGAATCTTCGTATAAAAATCACGCGGTCGGATGCTGGAATTATTAAGAATTTCCTCGAGGATGGAAGTAAGGGAATAAATCGGGGTCTCGAAGAGAGAGATCCGAAAGTGCAAGACCTCGTTTTCATCTCGAGACGAAACCACTTCCAGGTTTCGCGATGAATCGAAGAAATCTTCCGCGGACTCGGTCATCCCCGATCGCGAAATCGAGATTCTATTACTCTAAGAGCGCACGCTGGTCGGTAAACAAGCTAGACGAAAGGGGTGGATCCGCGTGGTAAATCGCGCGGATCACGCGTGCACGACCGAAAGACGCGGCGAACACGCGCACTTACACGCAGACACGGGACGCTCACGTTCGAGATGATTTCAGTGACCGGAGGATGGTTTATGAGCCGTAACCTTCCTGTCCGAACGCCCACCGCCTTCCTCTCCCTCTTAGCTGAAGAAACACCCTTGCAGGGAGTAACGTGACTCCAATCCTCCTGTAAATTCGATCCAATATATTAGGGTTAGCTTTCGCGGGAAGAAGCTATCGACGCCTGTATCCTGCAGTTCTAGTCTTCCACCAACTTCCGAATTTCGCTCTCGCCGATCACGCCATGAAGATAACTCTAATCTGAGTTTAACGATTCCGCGATAACCCGAGATTCTGGGACTCTCCTAGGTGTTTCGTAACTTGTGCCTTTAACCCATTGTTCTACGATTTAAGTTCCTGTGGTACGTACCATAATCAACAGCAGAGTTGGTCACACGTCGAACCATTTGGTCCGAACACAGCGAAGAATAACACGTAACGTGTTGTTCACGTTGAGTCCTTTCTACGTACAAATCACGTCTCTCGCCCGTGATACTCATGTTCGACCCGAATCCTTTAGCACGTCTCTCGCCCGTGATACTCATGTTCGACTCGAATCCTTTAGCACGTCTCTCGCCCGTGATACTCATGTTCGACCCGAATCCCGTAACACGTGTCTCGCACGATATTATAGGTGAAAGCGTTAACGCTGAAGATATAACATTATCTTGCTATCTATCTGTGTCTTTTATTTTTGGATTTGGACGTAAATCGAAGAAAATGTCGCGGAACAACGAGAAGAGATTTCTACGCGAAATTACGTGAAATTTGACGATGAAACGACACGTAGTACAGAAATTAGGATACCAGGAGAAGAC